ATCATGGTTTTCTCTGTAGCATCCTCTTAGTAGCCAGTACTGTTCTCTGTTGAAGAGTGGATACAAAACAAACTCAACCCCAGATCTCATGTGTTCATTGGCCTCTCTCTGGAATTACGTCAAGGCTGATTGGATCCCCAGTACAGAGCTGAATACATGAGCAAAATTCAACTATGCCCAGTAGCTGTTTCTCAAACTAGTTTTGTCCCTGTCCAAGTTTGACAGGTTTTGTTTTTGGCACAGAGTGGGCTCTCGTTCCAGGACAAACTTGGCTGTCTGGAGACAGATGCTTCCCTCCGACTTCTTTTGAGGTTGGACTTCAGAACTTTGCTCCTAACCCAGTCAAGCTCCTCCAACAGGATCCTGTTGCAAAATCCTAATCCCTCAAATTACGACAGCGCAGTCTGTTGCCATAGCACTGATTGAGAAACCACGAATTCTGTGCTACAATTTCACAGCAGGATCAAAGAGGAGAAGACAGGCTGGTGGGGGAAGGGAGCGCAGGGGGAGGAAGCTCCGCTAATTGTACACAAATCGCTGTGCTAAATAATTAGCAAGCAAGAGGGGTGGAGGCTGGAAGCATTCGTAGAAGATGTTCAGATTTGTTCCCAGTCAACTTGAAACATTTTCATCCAGCTTTTGTGCTTGTATGCAGAGCCTTGACCCTGGAGGTGTCTGGAGACATCTCTCAGCACTCACATTGGCTGCCTTGAATCCCAGGGAACCTGACAGCCGATCATTTCCACCTCCCAATGGCCACTGGGACTGCTGTGGTCACAGCAGAGCTGTAGATGTCAGACAAAAGTCAAGCACAGTCCTTAGAGGAACAACAAGAAAAAAATGCAGTGATTTCTTCTCTAACTTGCCTGCCGGTGTTGTGGTGACATGGGATCCCTCAGAGCTGGCCAGAAACCTGGATCTTGCAGTCTGGGGCAAGCAGACAGAAAAGCAGGGATCTGTCCCGTGTCTGTAGGAGAGCACTGCAAGCGCTAGGGGGGCAGGCAGCGTTCTGTGGTTTGGGGCTGTGGTCTCCTGCTCCTTGGTATTTGGCTGACTGGATTGCATGTTGATTTTGGCTCCTTCCTCCGTGTTCAAAGCACAACAGTTTTGGAGCTTGTAAACTATAGTCAAAACTGAGAAACTATCTTGTACAGGCTCTTAAACAGCACAAACAGGCATATTCACTTTCTGGGACTACTTGCTGCCTTTCCAAGCTTTTTTTAATTCTTAAAGGGACTCTCTCTAGCCTGGTATTTCTTTTTTTTCTTTTTTTCCCTACAGAATCTTCTGAGTAGGTTAAACAATTAGGAAGGCTTTAGAAAGGTTGTCCATACACCCAGTGGTTTATTATTGCAGACACCTAGCACACCTCCACTTCTCTTCTCTCTTTATATGGGAAAATGATGTTCAAATTAGCAAAACCCCATCAAGTCCACTCATATAATATTGCAGAGTTACTCTAAGTGTTGAGTTACATAATGGTTTATCACTGCAACATTGTCCATGGCACTGATTTAAAAATACAGAAATAGAGAAGAGTCCTGATACCTTTGTTTGGTAAAAAAGCAACCTCTAAAGAATTGCACAGACTTTGCAAACCCAAGCAGGAAGTATGAATAGTTGGCCAAATGTGGGACCAACAGCCTTGTTTAGAGTCCATATGTCCGACATTCAAAATCAGAACTGGAAGTTGGGCAATCTGAGAAAGATTTATGTTTTGGGAGAATGTCCCTACCAAATATGCACTAATTATATCTCACCCATTTTTCATTGTTGATTACATGTATTTTTTATTGGCTGGGTTAATTCTAAATTTCATTGCGCAGTGAAATTACAATTTTTCTTTAAATTCTTATCAGCAAATGGGACACTGCTTGGAAACAAACCTCCCATTAAAATAGAAAGTAAGGTATTTTACAAGGGGGCTGTTCTGGTATCACGCAAGAGCACTTTTCAGAATGAATCATTTCTGGACAATGAAACATCACTAGACCTGGAAAGGTATAAAGAGAGGGTCCCCTGGCTGCCACATGGCATCCAAGGGAGAGGACTCCCTCATCCCTTTCTGGTACGTTGGGTGGTAGAAATACTGTACTGATGTTTCTGCACATCAGGTGATAATTGTCAGATTATACTGGAGACAACTTGGATCAGATAAAACAACTCTGGGCCAGTATCTTTACTCAACCCCTGCCTCTGGAAGCCATTCAAAAGAGCTCATTTGGATTTTGTTCTACTTAAGTTATACATTTTCAAGTACAACAAATGATCATTGTGCTCCTTTTCTCATACGGGCTGGAAAATCAAATCCATGCCATTGCTGAGCTCTGTATATGGATGGGGTGGATTACAACTGGAAGGGAAACAACGAGAGAGTGACAGAAGCCACCACTTTCTTAGGTCCTTATTAGAGTATAGCTGTCCTAGGGCCTTACTGTTCCTGCCCTGTATAATATTTTTCTGGCTCAACAGTTGACCTCATAGTTTCATAGTTTGTAGGGTCGGAAGGGACCTGAGCAGATCAAGTCTGACCCCCTGCTATGGCAGGAAAGAGTACTGGGGTCAACAGCAAGGTGTTCATCTAGCCTCCTTTTAAAGACCCCAGGGTAGGAGCCAGCACCACTTCTCTTGGAAGTTGGTTTCAGATCCTAGCCACCCTGACAGTGAAGTAGCACCTCCTGATATTTAGCCTGAATCTACCCTCTGCCAGTTGTGACCGTTATTTCTTGTCACTCCTGGGAGTGCTCGGGGGAACAGGGACTCCCCCAATGCCTGCTGGTCCCCCCTGACTAGTTTATAACAGGCCACTAGATCCCCCCTCAGCCTTCTCTTGTAGAGGCTGAACAGGTTCAGGTCCCGTAGCCTCTCCTCATAGGGCCTGCCCTGCTGCCCCCGATCACGCGAGTGGCCTCCTCTGGACCCTTTCCATGTTGTCCACATCCCTCTTGAAGTGCGGCGCCCAGAACTGGACGCAGTACTCC